ACGTTATTAAACTTATTGGAACTTATTAGATCTTATTTATGTTATCGCACGTATTGTAGTTTTTTGAAGTTATAAGTTTTTATTTATACTTATTTTTAAATATTTTATCAATGAAAATTTATTTTATTTATAATATTTATTTGTTATTTTTCATAATTTAATTTCAAAGGTTTCAAATTATTAATATTGGTCAAAAATTATTTTAGCACAAACTATTTTATGAACCTATGTTCTACAATTCATGATCATACAAACAAAGCCTAGTCCATTTCATTTACCTAATTGGCCCAATAATTTTATGATGCCCAATCTTCTTACTTACCCTACAACATTCTCTCCTATAAATACCCCATTAATCCCCAAAAATTTCCCACACAAAAAGGTTAGTCTTATTTTCTCTCTCCTTTGTTTTATTAATTTGTATAATTATAATTATTGATTTATGGATTTTGATTTTATTGTTTGAAAGTAATTTAATTAGTATCAAGTTGTATTTTGATGACTAAACTTTATAATTTCAGATTTTATAAGTATCATAATTTTTAGATTTTGTAAATTTTATAACCTAGGGTTTTTAATTATTGAAAATCATGATTTTAGGGTTTTTATGAACAATTGATTTAGGGATTTTATAGTAATGATGTTTTGAAATTTTGGTAATTATAACTAATGATTAGTTTAACTTAATTCCATATTATTTTGAACATGTAAATTCGTGTTTTAATTTTTAGATTTTCGTTCGTTAATATTAATCCTGTTTTAATCCCGATCAGATTCTGAACTCATCCAATTTTGATGAAAAAGTAGTGTTTTTCATGTGGAAACAACGTTTTAAGAAAGACTCACATTTTTGGTAGTGAGCACCACCCTCTCGTGGCCAAATTCAGCTTCTAAATATGATTTTCGGGAAGTTTATGATTTTAACAAAGTTTTTTTTATACTTAAAATATTATCCTTGAGTTTGATTAATAAAATTAATTATGTTTAAAGTTAATTAAGCATAAATATATGTTTTTATTGAAGTTTTAAGTGTTAGACATAGTTTCTAAGTACTACTTTTGATGTTTTATAAAGAGGGTTTAATCACCCATTAAAAAGGGAGATTTTTATGGGTTTTTATATAATTTTTAGATTTTTATTAGACTTTGAACTTGCTGTATGTATAAGAGTGTATTTTAAAGTTTTTATGAAGAAAATTTAAAGAACTATATATAAGCCTTTAATTTTAACTAAAGGGAAGGTTTTAAAGTGTTGTTTGATTTGGATTTTGAAGGTTTTAAAGTAAGTTAGTATTGCTGTAAATTTGATTGATTGGGTATTGATTGAGATGTTATTATTTGTCTTAGGAGACGAGTTTATTGAATGTGATTTCTAGTTAGTAAAGTGGCATACCAATTCGTTTACTCAAGGTACGTACAAGTTACGAAACCTTTCTTTTAGGTACATGTTTAAGGACGATGGATCGAGAACTTAGTATCATGTATAGGGATGACTGAGTTAAATTGTTTGGTTATACATTGTGAATTTCGTATGACGTGCACTATTTTATATTGCAAGTATTATTTGTGCTCTAATTATGCAAGGTGCGCTTAGAGGCAAAGGTATATGATTGGTGTAATGATTAATTTATTACTCATTCATGATTATGCAAGTAGGATGAGTAAAGGAAGAATTTAAGTCTTCTAAGACAAGGTTAAGGTTTTGGGTGCCTTATGCACTCAAGGTGTTTATACACCGAGGTAGTAAAGGAATAAATAATAAATGTTGCTTGTCACTAATAAATCAAGAATTGAAATTGAAAAGTTGTTTTACTTGATTGAATTGATATTGAATTGATTGTATTGTTATGCATATGAGTCATCACCAAGTCTAAACCTGTAAATCACGTAAAGTGCAAGATGGATGAGCAATAAAACTCTGGATTGGTGCACTTCTGGAGTAATGACAATTGGGGTACATGGGGTATTAGCCGTGTACTTTTCTCGAGGTCGTTTGATCTACGAGTCTCTTATTTCAAATATTTTTCAAAACTAGGAGTTAGGTGAGATCTCATACTAACTACGGTCACGGAGTCGCGCCCGTGGTCGTTGGATGTTTATTGATGTTTCCGAAAGGAGGCATGGGGTTTTTCTTTTATTGATGTTCCAAATGGAGCATGGGTTGGACAACCTTGTCTATTGCGTAATCCGATGAATAAAAATAATGATTTACCTATTATTAATTAATGGAGTCTTAGTAATATAAATAGTTGAGTCGTGTGTTGAGTCTATAATTTAATGATGCATGATGATTGATTATTAGTAGCATGTTATGGATTTCTTAATTTATTTTGCAGCTTGTATGTACTCAGCTTTGCTGATTGCGTGCTTTGTGTGTCTTTCTTTGGTCATGGCCTTCGCCTTTTAATGACTCTGTGACGATCCAATTTTTACACTTGTAATATTGGGGAGCAGAATTACCACAGGTTCTTACACATGCAACATTCATCAGGGTTGTGGGATCTTGAGTAGAGAGTTGGTTGTTTGCATTTTATTTCTTTTGCAAGTTTGAATTTATTTTAATTCGATTTTATTCGACACTATTTCTTTTGGGCTTGAATTTATTTGAACACTGAATTTAATCACTTACTACTTTTATTGGGGTTTTGAATAAGGGCCTTAATGGTTCCAAGTTGTATGACTTAATTTGGTTTCATTCGTTGGTTTTGAAACTTATTTATATTTGATTTAGTTTTTCCGCTGCTATTTTCTGATAAAGCCTTAACGTTTGAACATGTGGCGGTAGCACGCCAGTAATTCTCTTGAATATTGTTTAGGGTCCTCACAGGTTTAAAGAGAGAATTATTGGGGTGTTACAACTCCCTCAGTCTCTAAATTATATTTCTATTTCTAGCATTTATTCCTCACAAAATAGAGAAAAGTAGGAATGTAATTTAGGGACGGAGGCAGTAGAGCTTATTAAAGTTATTGCAATTATTTATTAGACCTGAATAACCTTATTGTAAGTTTACTTATTTTTATAAGGATAAAATTCCAATTTGTATAATGTGAAGCTAGGCAACTAGCTTGAAATAATATTTGTATAAGGTGTATATAAGGTGAAGACATATTTGGATATAGTATTTTATATTTTTGTAAAAAGTAAGAGTTACCTACTCTCTCTGTATTTTAAATAAGTATTACACTTATCAAATGCGGTCGTGTTTTAATAGGTGGTATACTTTCATTTTTTGCCAAAAACTACAATCTAATATAAACTCTTTCTCTTTCATGGTCACCGCTTTAACCCAATCATTTCTATTTAGTAACACAAATTTTTATGTGCGACCTGTTGTACCGTGCGACAGGGGTTCGTTACTTGAATTTTTGGGTCATGGATCACTTGATTTTTCGAGGTTACTTGAGTTTATCGGTCAGGGATTTCTTGAGTTTTCCGGGGTTACTTGAGTTTCTTGGAGAGGGGTTACTAGAGTTTTCGGGCTTACTTTAGTTTCCCGTTCAGGGGTTTGTCGAGGCATATATTTTTGTAAGAAATTGAATACATACACCATTTATTATTTTATTTTTAAATAATTGGTCCAGTTTTGTTTTTGTCCAATTTTTTGAGTGTTACAGTTTCTATAATTTTTCAAGTTACTCTATTTATATAAATTTTACTTATTTACTAAGCGTAATGTTATGGAATTTAACAATGTTAAAATGTTTTAATTTCACTAATGATGTCATATAATATGGTTTTGAAAAAAAAAATCTATGCTATTAACCATAATTTAATAAGATATGGTTAATTTTTAGCAATATCCGCCAACAAAGATATTTTATAATTGCAACCCAAATTCACAACATTAATTGTTAACTTATTTTACAATTTTTATTAGGAAATAAGTGCTTAGTTTACAATTTTTGTTAACTTATTTTACAATTTTTATTTATTACGACGTAAATAATTTTTATTTTCCTATTTCTTATTTATTTTCTTAGATTTATAAAGATTTATAAGCATGATTGACAAGATTACTCTCTGGTTTCATTAGCTACTTCCTTCTTTCACATCTTTCACTTTGAATTTGCACTTCTCACTGACTGTTTTAAGAAAGGCAAAGCGATTTGGTATGGTGATCGGCTACATGATGGATCAATTGGGTGATTGTGATCCAATTTACAACCACGTACCTGCATCTTCCCATCTACTAAACGAGCATCAATAAACACTTTGCATCCTGTGACGTTTGACCCTTTGCTCTGTGTACACCCCCCTTTTACATTTAAATCTTATTCGTTGCATCATATGGTACATTGTCTCATACTTCCCTACCCTTGTTCGAGTACCACCATCGTTCTTGTACTCATCCATTAGTTTGCTAGTTTCAATGAAGAACATAAAACCCTTTTTGAAAGCATAGTTGTGGCAAAATTAGGCATACTCTTCTCCAAATACAAAGGTCATTCCAACTTTTGGATCATTTTCTATTCCCTGATCCTCTTCTTCACAGTCCTCAAACACCTCATTTAGATCAATGATTTTTTTCCAAATTGCCCTCCACACTTGCCATTACACTGCAACCCTGCATAGCACAATTAAACTCGTAATCTATTTTCCACTATAATTATATTATGTACATCTAATAATACATAATTATACCACTATAATTATATTCATACTAAAAAAATTAATATCTAACTAAAATTGCTTAAAATAATTTTAAAAACTCATGAGAACGGTACATTATACATTATTAACTACAAAACACAAAATTCCAAATTTTATCAAAAATAAATCCATGGATTCGAATTCCATTACAAAACTAAAAGCATATCTTCTTCAACCCTTATAACTTCAAACCAATTATATTTCCTTGTAAAAACCATTTTCATCAAATATGACATATTTCCTAATTTACTCACTACACCATGTCAAATAAAGAGACAAACTTTCAATTATACATTTTAAACCTCATCATTTGATAAAAAAACTTATCGTCAATGTCGCTCAATAATGTTTTGAACTTCTTACTTCATCTTTGATTCAATGAATGACTAGAACTTCACTGGCCATTACCATAGAAAATATTTCTAAAAGTACATACCATACCTTCGTCGAGGAAGTAAAATTTTTTAACAACATGGCGCCATAATTTCATCCTTTACCGCTGCTCTCTTCTTAGGCGGAAATCTCACACCTTTTTACCGCTTAACTCTCTTTCTTTCTTTTTTAAGAACGTTGACATGTCGCAATTTCATTGGATGTCTATGTAGGGCTACGCATAGACTAAGTTTACGTGTATCAGCTCCCGAAAATTAGACTTTACAAAAAAAAAAAAAAAAAAAAAAAAAACAACTTAAAAAAAATAAAAAGAAGAAGAAGTCCACTTTAGTCCTCTAGTCCTTAAAGCATCTACTTTCCCAGAACTCTCCTAAAGTTTTACAAAGGTTGCCTTCACCAGTTCACCTTGTTCACACCCTAAATTCACAAATTCCCCAGAAATCTCCCAAAATCTCAATCACCAATCCAAAAATCATGCATAACTTACCCATTAAATGGCCAACCCGAAAACGCTCAATTTCTGGACAACAACCTTCACCACCACCATCGTTATCCGATGATGTTCTAATCGAAATCTTGAAAAGGCTGCCATTAAAATCACTGGTACGATTCACTTGTATATGTAAGTCATGGTTCTCTATCCTTACTTCCCCATCTTTTATGTCAATTCTCGCAGCTTTCAATTCGGAAAAATCCCAGAAATTTCAGCTTTTTAAAAGACCCATTGATATTCACAGCAAAATTAATCATACTATGTTCTTTGCTTATGATTCCGATAATCTGACGCGTGAATTTACTAGGGTTTTCCTTTTTAAAAGATCCCATTTTGTTGTTTCTTCTGCTCATGGTTTATTGTGTTTATATAATTTTTATGATAAGTATCAGAATACATCACCATTGATTTTATGGAACCCTTCAATTAAAAAACACCGAGTTGTTGATCTTCCTCCTATTGAAGTGCAAAATACTGCTGGTGGGTTTCCCAAATTGATTTTCGGGTTCGGGTTTGATTCGTGTTCTTGTTCTTTTAAGGTGGTTCGAGTGTCGTATTCTACCCGTTATACTGGTACTTGTTTTCTTTCTGCGGTGTATAATATTACTGATGGTGAATGGAATTGTTTGGGGTCGACTAGAGTACCCTATTTTATTACTACTATTAGATGGAGAGGAATGTGCTTGAATGGGGTGATTCATTGGATTTGTAATTTGAATGTGAATTTGGATACTGATCCTAATGATCGGGTGTATCGAATGATATGGACACTGGCATTGGGAAATGCAGAATTCGGCGAAATAATGTTGCCAAAAGAGTTAATGAACATGCCTGATGGATCCTTGAGGGTTATCATGGTTCCTAGGAATGGCAAGGAGTTGTTGGGGGTGATACATATAAGAAATGATATTTTTAGCTTGTGGGTGATGGAGAATTATGGTGTGAAATCATCGTGGGTAAAGTTGTTCAATGTCAATTTCTATGACAGTATCAAGAATGATATGAATGTTTTGGTGATTAGCGATCATGAAGTGGTTGTAAAAACTACGCGTGATGGTTGGCTATCCTATGATCATAATCTGCAACAAATTAAGTGTCTCGAGACTAAATTATCTCGTAGTGTTGACTATGTAGATACTTATGAGGAGAACTTATTTTTGGTTGGGCAAAATAGCAAAAGAGATCGACAAGGTTCACAAGAATATTCAGGTGTGAAGCAAGATTATTTTGGTGTGAAGCAAGATTATTTAGGTGTGAAGCAGAATCATAAAAAAGTATGGAAAGATGACAAGGGTAAATCTTTATCAATGTAAGTATGTCTTGTATGCATTAATTTCTCTGTTAGCAGTAAGCACCAATTCTAGGACATAGGGAATTCTGAATTCTTAGTGTGAATTTCAATTGACTGTACAGCTGTAATTGTTGAGTCTGTTATATATGGATTATACCTCATACTTGAGTACTTAGGTTATGAAAATATACTCTGTATTTACCGATGCTCATTTGATTCATGAAAATTAGTGATGCTTCTGTAATATTGATTATCTGAATACAGGACAGCTTTTCTTTTTTGAATGTGTACCTTTTTTTCAACTGTCAACATAATACCAAGTACTTTTTGTCAAAAAGTGTTCAATAATCTTATTTCTGCTTTAGCTTTTCTTCAATTGATTATGAGGGTCTGGAGGGGAAGTGTGTATGTGAATGGGGAGCAGAACCTTAGATCAGCATGTCATCGATGCAAAGCTAATTGATTGATTGATTGATTTTTTTTTTTTTTTTTCAGAATGAAGTGATAAACCACTGTCATAAGAGTGTAAGAGGGTCTGAATATAGTTTTTCGAAAGAGAGAGTCTGAATATAGTTGATGTTGGATTAAGATGATGAATGGGCAATGATGGTTATGTATGTGAATTATAAGTGATGGAGATTGTAGAAGTATGGAATGGTAAGTTCGTGTACCAAATGGTTACGTGTTCATCTTGAAAATCCAAATGTGTCTGGGAATATAATAAACATAAGGATGAATTGTGAGATGGTTATGGAATTATCAAATGATCAATGGTTCTTATTAAAGTTAGAAAGCATTTGCCGAAGCTAGTAATTGAAAAGCCTAAATTTCTTGGAACAACAACATTACAGTAGATAGCAGTTACTAGGTAATTTGGTGTAGTCGTCCTAACCTTTTAATGGTTGTGCTTTACATGTTCTTGTAATTTTCTAGGCTTTCTGTGCAATTTGTAAGATGCATAATGCATGTAGATGCTGTCAACTCTATTCAGATTTGCATTGTAGATTGTGGAGGCCCTCCCTATTTCTAGCTTTGTCGCAATTTTATTTATCAAAGCTTAATATGATCTGATATGATTGCATTGGTAGAATTTGATTTTAGTGGCTTTGGTTCATATGTTGGGACTACAAATCCATTTTAGTAACCTGTAAAATCATGTACTCTGTATTATCTTCTGTTTAATGTAGTCTTCTATATGATGGAAAGAGAGACACAATATATCAATAAAATTGTATCAGGTAGAGAAGTTGGTAATGTTACCTCTAATGGTTTAATAGGTAACTTAAATGGTTTTGAGATTTGAACTGTAAATCTGATGTCTGTGATGGTCATAATAGCTTTGTTTATAAGTAGGAAAACATGATGTAGTTTGTTGCAATCTACAATATTCTCATGGCAACATAATTCTTGATATATTTCAGTTCATGATATCTTTCATATAGTGATCGCCTAGCAACATGCATCGAAAATAACTATCATGGCAACATTATTCTTGATACTTTTCAGTTGAAAACGACTTGGAGAAGATTATGAGAAAGCCTGTAATTGGCTATAATTAATATACCGTGGTGTACTTCTATCTTTTAGCAGCCGTACTCGTTATTTCACATTGTTGATAAGTCTACCTTATGTTGTACAAACTGTGATCTGTTAACAGGTGAGCAGAAATTGTGATCAAGATAACAAAATTTTAACAAAAGGAGCAATTAAAGCTAATAAGATGGGCTTAGGAAGTTAGGATGGCATTTGGTCAATGTTTTATCCATATAGTAGAATTTGGTCAATGTTTCATTGATTACTTCGTTAATCAATGAAAAATTCTGTTAGAATGGACAATCATTGACAATTCAACACGGATTATGGTACTTACATGTTAAACAGAGATGATGATAATGAGCCTAGCTTGTGACTTACTTCAGTTACTTGAGTTTGGCTCATTGAAAGATTGAATCTGAGACATATATGACCAACTAGAGCAAAATTCTATGTAAAAAATTTATGAGCAAGTTTGGAAGTATGACTTTTTTTTTATAAAATAGGAAAGGTAAAATGAGATGAATGAAATATAATACAAGTACTTTGTAATGGAAATGAGTTTTGGTTGTACTGGCATAAATTAGCAAAACTCTTGTGAGAAGTTTAACATACTACAGTAGAAAAATGTCTGAAATTTTGATTATTATAAACTTTTATGTACTCTTTTATTTATTTAATATTTTTGACAACAGATAAACCTTAATCTTGTCTCAATTAGAGAGAAAAGTAGTAACAACACTACATGCAATTGCGGTATGGTGATCTTCAAGAACCTGTTGCCTGGTAAATCTCTGGAAGGTAGCAACAAATGTACAGAGGTCGTCGATTGCCCAGAGGACTGCTATCTTGATGTTGTTTGTGGTCTGCAAGAATCGGATGAGAGCCTCTGAATCTCTAAGCACCCTTACCTGATTGATCCCAGCCGAAGAGGCCCATCTGATGGCGTAAACACAAGCCAGAAGCTCAGGCGCTCAGCGTCTATAGCAGAGTTGGCTAAACTGAAATGACCTTGTATGTTAAAACTCAAAACATTTTGAAACTATTCAAAGTATGACTTATTAGCTTTTTAGTTGACCTCGGCAGTCAATCTACTTAGCTTGAATTGAGTCTGATCTTAGTGTCATTATTAGTAATGAACAATATTTGTGATTTTAAAGTTGGACAATTGCTTCTTTTTTTTTCCCTAATTCTAAAACATACTTCGCAAGTCTTAAGCCATTACGGAGTATAAAATAGCATGAAAAGAGTCAAAGCAATAGGTAAGGGATAAAAAAACATCGTGACAAAATTAAGAAAAAAGAAAGTGGAACACTATAGAGGAAAAAAAAAAAGGGATTTTTATAAGGTAAGGATATACTAATATCTTCTTAACTTTTTTTTTTTTTTTTAATTTTAATTGGGGGCAAATTGGTAAACAAGCATTTTGAGGGATATAGTTGTTATCGCACTATTTATAAGAGCATTCTCATACCTTTTATAAGGTAGGGATTAAAAAAAATGGGAATATTATTACTTGAAATTGGAACCACTAGATTCAATTTCCATTTTGTATCGTCAATTATAATGTCGTCGATTTTGAATTCATGAATTTTTTGCTCACCAACAATACCATCGGATCCTCCATTGTCGCCCTGGCTAACCACTCTAAAAACCATTAAACTCTCTCGAAATATACAAATTCTTAAATGGATCTGGTTCACACTAATTTATTGTGGACCACTAACATTAGAGACAATATGACTGTTTTATCAGTATAAAAAAAAATCACTATATTAAAATAAAGGTTATTATGTTGAAAATAAAAGTTAGTGTGACATTATAAAAGCTACAAGAACTTATTTTTTAATGAAATTTTTAATATAATGGTCAATATGAATAATAAAATTCACAATTTTAAAATTAGGTCACTATTCAACATAATATTATTATTTAAGCTCATAATAATATTAAAGGTCACACAAGTTAAGGTTACTATATCGTTTCAAAAAAAGTTAAGGTTACTATAATATAATTAGGGGTCATTATGTTGAATATAATGTCAGTTACGTGTATATAAACCTTAGGTTCACAATATATCATTGTGGACTAGGTGCACGCAAGATTTTCTGCTCGAAATAACTACGTAGTAATTTTTTTTAAAAAAACTACTGATCGCCACCTTAGTCCCACTTCAATTAACTCAAAACCACCTTTTTGTTACTACTTATTTCCTCCGTTTTTATTTAGTTGCAACACACCCCTTTGACACGTATGTTAAGAAAGATATTAGACTAGGTAAACGGATAAATTAATTTATAAATTTTAACACCTATAAGAAGAAAGGGATAAGTTGTCACGGTTTAAATTTCATAGCTTAATTCATTCGTTTACCTAGTTTAATTACATCATTGATAAACGTGATAAAAGGTGTGTTGCAAGTATAAAAAATAGAGGAAATATTATTTACCAAACAATTTAACATACTGAAAATAAGGGTTTGTTTTCATTGACTAAACTCAGCTGAACTGAACTAAGCTGAACTGAACAGAACTGATTTGAACTGAACTGAACTGAATTGAATCGAACTGAGCTGAACTGAACTTATTAATTGGTGATGTATAACTACGGATAGTGATCTTTTATTATTTATTATTATACATATGTGTATATACAAATATAAATATTGAAATATTTAAGAAAAATATACTATATAATTAAAATATTTATGGAAAATATAGTAATAACATGAAACCCCAAAATATTTTAAGAACATGTACTATTTAATTAAAAAAATAAAATTAGTTTAAGTTGTGTAGTATTCTCATTTGTCAATGAGTTTAACAGTAAAAATGTGTATCAAAAAAATATAACCATTTGAACAATGAATTGTATTATTATTATTATTATTATTATTATTATTATTATTATTATTATTATTATTATTATTATTATTATTATTATTATTATTATTATTATTATTATCGTTGTTATAATAAGAGCTTAAAAAATGAAATTTTGCTATTTTTTTATTATTTTTTTATTTTTTACAACAGGCTTTATATCATTAGCAATATCATTAGACATAAACTGAACTAAACTCTAAACTGAACCAAAAATAAACAATAATGGGCCGTTTGGTTGGGGTAATCAGGAAAGGGAATTGGAATCAACTGGCCAGATTCCCTTTGTTGATGTTTGTTTAGCACTTTTATTCATTCCCTTTACCCTCCCCATTACCTCAAATCCTTCCAACTTTATTCCCCACCCCCCCCCCCCCTAGGTATTTCCATTCCCATTCCCTACCCACCTTCACACCACCACATCACCACCGGTAAACCATCTGTAGGGAATATTTCAAGCATTAACCCCCTAGCTTGAACCCCATTGTGATCATACACTAAAGTATGGTGGCGTCCAAAGGGAAAGAAGATAGAGCAAAAGAGTCGCCCACAAGTTTTAGGAACTTGTAAACCGTTCACAGGGTGAAGGTTACACCCCTTAACGATCCAATAGATCGTCAACTCCATAAGGTCTTGAACAAAATAGGGTTCGGGGATGAAGGTACAAATCCAACCTAAAAGAGGTTGAACCTGCCCTAATTATAGGCCTCTACTTTATTCAGATCGTATTCATGTGCGCTTTCTGACTAACATGCAATCAATAGGATTACCCTAAACCTGTTTATCTATGTTGGTTGAATATTAATGCACAAATAAATCTATTATTGACGATCACTTGAATTATAATCAAATTAACCCTAAACAAGATTATTAATTATCTTATTAAGCGTGATTACAAGTACAAATTCCCTTTAAACATGCATAAAAGGTGTGATCAAGCAATAACAATAAATATCAAGCAACATAATAATAAAAATAATAAACAAAATAATAATAATAACAATCATGATAATCATAATCATAATCATAATCATAATAATCATGTTAAAGCATAATATTAGCAAGATCTTAGGCATGATACTAACAAGATTAATAACAAACCTAGAATGTCACTAAGCAATAAAAATCAAAGCTTTAACCCCATGATACTAACAATCATAAATATTAGGAAGAACATAAAAGACATCATAACAATCATACTTGATATTAAAATTACCCTAGACATGATACTAGGAATATCATAATAACATCCTAAACATGATTTCTACATCATAACATCAATACAAACCATTAAAATACTTACTTTGATGCCTCGTACCTCTTTCTAACAACAAAATACACACGTTAGTAACTTCAAGGAAAATAATAAGCAAAACAATTAAATTAAATAATGGAAAGAGAGATTTGAGACCAAACCCTCAGAAATTAAACCTTTCACGTCTAGGATGAAGGCAACTTCGAATATGCCTAGGTGTTTCTAGATCTAATGAATGCGGAATTTTGTATTTGAGAGAAGCTAGTTTAGAAAAGAAAGAGAAATAGAGTAATCAAGAGAATCTTGATGAGAGTTGGTAGATTGTAGATGAATGAAAATTGGTTATTGAAAATGGAGTTTTTAGCACGTTAATTAAAGAGAAAATCATCCAAAAAGATAAAATATCAAAACAGAGTTTCTGGCGCACATAAAACGATGTTGGCGCTAACGCTGGCTATTGGCGCCAGGCGCCAAGCGTAGCGCCAGGCGCTACAGCTGGCGTTTGGCGCTAATTCAGAAACGCGTTTTCTTAAAATCAGATAGAAATTGCCGTACATGAGGATAAAATTGTATCTTCCTCAAAAAAAACGTTGTCTATTTCACCAAATGCCACTGAGTAATTTCGAAATTCATCAAATGCCATCGAACTTTTCCAAATTCACCAAATGCCACCGAGTTTTAAGAAAATTCACCGAGTGCCATTAATGACTGACCGCCGTTAGTAAGTCGTTAGTTGACCCTACCACTTGCCACGTGTCATCTTCTGATTGGTCCGTTTTTTTAAAAAATTAAACAAAAAAAACAAAAATATTTTAAAAAAAATAACAATAAAAAAGAAAAAAAAAACTACCAATTAAAACCAGCCACCCTGCCCCCACCTCCGCCACCCTGCTCTCCACCCTGATCACCTATCGCCGGCGCCGTACTATCCTTGAAAACGCGCGCCAGATCCAGCGACACCCACCTCAACCTCGAACCACCCTCCCCTTCCCCTAAACCACCTTAACCCCTCCCTAAAACCCCCTCCCCTCCCTTCGAAAAACACTCCCTCCCCACCGGCCGGCGCTAAAACCCCCTCCCCGACGCCGACGAACACGATTCGCCCCACCCCCTGCCGTCTCTACTCCCTTTCCATTAAAACCGAACCCATCCTTAATTTCTTCAGGTGCAAATTAATATCTGGGAAATTCAGCATTAGTCTCAATTTCGAACCGAAATTGAGGTTGAAACTTTGTCAAATTTCTGGGAAATTCTTAGGTGGGGTTTGTTTAATTCGTGTTATTTTACTGAATTTTGTAAAATTGGTTTGTTTGTTTTTAACAGAATGTGAGAGTACTCAATTGGTCAAATTGATGAATTTTATCTGGGATTTTGATTGTTCATTGAACCCAATTGATGAACTTACAGCATTATGCTAAATTACGTACCTTTTGTCGTTAATTGTAGTATTTGATCAAGTGGGTCAATGCTTGATTATGCTCTAAATGATTTTTTTTGATGTTAAATTGCGTACCATACTGCTGCAAATTCATGGGGGGCTTTTATTGTTGGTGCGAGGATCGAGAACGGCAGCAAGGCTACTGTTCGTGAAGGAGAGGGTTGGTTTCGATTCGTTGGCTGTGGTTTGTGGGAGTTTTTGGTGGTGGAGGTTGGTTGCGGTAGTCAGTCACGGTGGGTCGCGACGGGGGAAGATGAGGGGAAAGGGATGGGAGCCAGCGGCTGCTGGCACGCCTGCCGGTGCTGATCCCGGCGATAGGGGCTGGGCTGGTGGCTGGGGTTGGGGTTTTTTTTAATTATTATTATTTTTAATTTTTTTTAATATTTGTGGGTTTTTTTTAAATTTTTGTTTAATTTTTTATTTTAAAAAACGGACCAATAAGAAGGTGACACGTGGCAAGTGGTGGGGTATAACTAACGGTCAACTAACGGACATTGACGGTCAACTAACGGAAATGACATTTGGTGAATTTTGTTAAAACTCGGTGGCATTTGGTGAATTTGGAAAAGTTCGATGACATTTGGTGAATTTCGAAATTACTCAGTGGCATTTGGTGAAATAGCCGTTGATTTTAATTAAAACTCTGAAAAATCAACAAAAGTCAATTTATCAATGCTAATTGAATTAGGAATGAAAAGAACCTTCTAGAAGAATCTAGAAAACTAATTACATTCCTAATTGTATTAGGAATGATAAATCTATTAGGCCAACTCCTAGATCATTGGGCCGCATATAAGGCTCAAACCGGGCCCAGTTCAGTAAATTGACCATAACTTCCTCAATATTCATCGGAATTGGGCTTATAATATATCGTTGGAAAGCTTTTGTCAAGCCCCATCCAACTACACTACTATTGGACCCATATCATGGACCAACCAAACTGGATTGGTTGTTTTCTTAAAATAAGTTTTCAAAAATAGAGAGTAGAGAAAAGAAAATTAAAACTATCCGCAACACTAAACTTTCCACACTTTCGCTTCATTCGATTATGATTCGACGCGAAAGGTACTCATCACTGGGTTTGGTTTTGGGGAGACACAAATGGGTGTCTACACCATCCCAGACCACCGCCCCTACCCAGACCCCCGCCGCCCCTCCCCGACCACCGCCCTCCCCTCCCCCAAGCCTCGCCGACCTCCCCTCCCCCGAAAAAACCTCCCCTAGCCCCAATCTCTCTTGACCCCGAAAACCGCCGCCTAGCCCTCCCACCACCCTCGAAACCCTAGCAGCTAGGGTTGGTGGGAGGGTTGGGCGGCAGTTTTCGGGGTCAAGGGAGATTGGGGCTAGGGTTTTGCGGGGCTAGGGGAGGTTTTTTCAGGGGAGGGGAGGTCGTGGCTCACGCGGCTAGCGACGACGAGGGGAGGGGCAGGCGGCGAGGGGAGGGGGAGAGCCGGCGAGGGGCAGGGGAGGGCCGACGAGGAGTTTGGTGGCTGAGAAAGATGAAATGTGTGGTGGTTGTGGTGGTGGTGGTGGGATTGATTCCCTTTGTTTTAAAAACAAACAACAAAGCAAAAAAAGGTATTTTCATTTCATTCTTCTCCTTTCCCTTAGTTCATTCCATTCCGATTATCTCGTGCGAACCAAACGCCCCCTAAATATAAACAACATAGTAACATTAGGATTCAATCAAATCCGACAATCCGTTGCCGTTTCTAAGCGGCTAATGTTATTCGAAATATTGGGACCTGAATAACCTGATAGCTTCTGCTGTGTTGCTTAGTGGAAGAGGGACAGTAAAAAAAATTAAAAATAAACTTAAAATCAAAATGAGGGGAAGTACGAAACAACAGCCTTCTAACACACTCTTTACAATTTTCTGTTTTAACTTAAAAACTCAGAAATCTTGCTTCAGAGCTTCTCATTAATGGCTGAACGACACAAAAATCAGATCCATGAATTCCAAAATCAAATCAATAAACCCCCTTTAAATATTCGGGTTTACCAAAGAAGAAATCGCCCAAAATCAAACCCCAATTTACCCGAAGAATTGGTGATTGAAATCCTCAAACGCTTACCAGTTGCATCATTACTTCGATTCATGTCTGTTTGCAAATCATGGTATTCTTTAATCACAAACCCATCTTTTATTTCTGTTCATTTATCACATCAATTAAACCCCACCTCAAAAAATGGTGTTACTACACTTTATAGTGTTCCTTGTAAATTGTTTTTGCATAATGTTGATGAACCTATAGATAATTGGGTAGAAATTGATTCTCCTGTTGGTTGTATGGGTTTGATTGTTGGTTGTTGTCATGGGTTAATATGTGTTTTTGATTATTCGTCGTTTCGTGTTGTTCCTTTGATTTTGTGGAACCCTTCAATTAGAAAAGCTTTCACCCTCCCATTACCAGCCTTAATGCCATCTTTTATTTCACAAGATATCGGAATCGTAAATGGAGGTATTCCAAGTTGTAATTCGCCCAATTTTACTATTGGGTTTGGGTTTGATTCGAATTCGAAGGATTATAAGGTGGTGAGGGTGTGTTGGAAGTGGGAAATTGGGGAGAAACATTATACATACTTTCATGCTGATGTTTGTAGCCTTAGTAAGGGTAATTGGAGGACTGTTAAATCTCGTGTTGAGGGTGGTAAGTTTGTTCTCGATCGTAGGGGGGTGTTTGTGAATGGGGTTATCCATTGGATGTGTAAGATGAAACTTCCTAATGATGTTTTTCTTAAAACAGTTTTGGCTTTTGATCTTGCTAACGAGGACTTTAGTCAGATTCTTTTGCCAAATCCGATGTCTAGTGCTGTGTTGTTGTCAGTTAAGTTAGTCGAGGATAAGCTTGCTGTTTCATGTACTGGTGATGCAGGTAATGTATGGGTGATGGAAGAGTATGGTATAATAAAATCCTGGAGAAAGCTTCTTGATTTTAATATAGGAGATAATGTGGGTTCAGTATTAGGTGCCATGGTTGCCAGGGATGGTAAAATTGTGGTGACAACATCTGTTGGAAATTGGATTTCATGGGATCCTAACAATCAGGACTTGAAGAATCTTGCTCTGCCTATCCTTGAGCCAACATATGTGGATACTTATGTCCAAAGCCTGGTCTTTCTCAGATTCAAAAATCGAGCTCTGCGTTGCAGGAAACTTCCTGTGGAGAAGAAAGTAGGGAAGAGATTGACAACACAACAATATAGGTAAATCTTGAATTGTTACAATATAAATTTTTACTTGTTCAATGCAGTTCATATGTCATGATCAGTAGAATGTTGTTTATGGCTATTAATTTACAAAAGTAGTGAAAATTGTATGATATGATTCCTCGGTACTCAGAAATTTTTATATTGAAGTATTTGCTTATTTCAATTACTGTATTTATACCTTCATATTACAACGGATTCCTATGGCAATGTTTATGTTTTCTGAAAATTGTTTCTATACTAGCCATTTGTGTTTGGCATTTTTGAGCAGAAACATATACTATATGAATTTTCTCTTTTTCCTACTGCTAATTATAAAGCTTTACAACCTTGAATTAATTCACTAATGGTTTAGTGACAAATAAACTTAGTTAATTCCTAATGTACAAGCAAATGATATTATATTCTTAACTCTTTGATAGAAAAAGAAGCTGTAAGTTGGTTGTAGGCAATCCTGTTAGACTGTAAGATAACTGAAAATTGTTCATTGTGCATAGCTTAGAAAGCTATGAGGCCTAAGATGATTGATTTTTCAGAAATACTTTATTCTAGCTCAAATATGTGCTACATTGGGATGGATCCGAGTTATGTTAGAAGATGTTTTCAAATATGTGCTACATTGGGATGGATCCGGGTTGTGTTAGAAGAGGTTCTCAAAAACTTTATTCTAGCTCAAATATGTGCTACATTGGGATGGATCCGAGTTATGTTAGAATGAAAATTGACCTCCGTCCTTTTGATTTTTCTCTGTTTCTTTAAATCGAAAGCTAGTGCAAGTGACTGTCGTTTATGAATAAAGCTTGTTCGAGAGGGAGCTAAACAAAGTGTTATGTTTGTAAAGATCTTATCTTCCGTAAAAAAAAAAAAAAGACCTTAGCGATTTACTGTTATACTGTAAAATATTTAAGCCAACAAATTTGACCCATGTAACCGTAAGCTTGCTTACTTATAGTCTAATCAATACCCAAGGCTTATGACGCAAAGACTTACTTTGTTGTTAAGTTTGTAATTGTGAATCTGTGATTGATATGATTTGAGTGTAGTCTTGAACTCTGGATGAATGTCCACTGTTTCTTTTTGTATCCTGAAGTCATTTGTTTGTCTTTCAAACTTTCAATGTATTGAAGGCCATGTTTATTACTTTAATGTATGATTAGGATAGGATGAGAAGTTGAGAACTAGCAAGCATGAATTTTTAGTTGGATAAAGTAGCAAATCAGAGAGATTTGTTTGATGAATTGACAATTTCTGAATCGTCAAAGGTTGATAGCTAGGTTTCTATCAAGTCAGTTTGGATGGTATTTATCTATGCAAATTAATGTTGTTACGGAAATATATACTGAAAATCAGTTCATTCAGGTTATCAGGGTCATTTGTTGTGATAACCTTTCATCTCTAATCTACTACGAGTACTTGTTAAATGTGATTTTATGCCTGTATTGGTAGAAGATTTCCATCACTCTGACTCAAATGCAAAGCCACGTCATAAAATTTTGGTTCTCCCTTTCTTAAAGCTTTTTACTTCCCCAGCTCACTCTTAAGAGACTAAGGGGGCGTTTGGTAAAAGAAAGGGAAAAGTTATGCGATCAACAATGGGACAGGAGGGCAAAAGAAATTAATCCTTACATTTGTCTTATTGTTTGTTTTTAGAGATGAAAGGGAAAGGAGGGAAAAACCCGAAGTAAACAAAACCACCGCCATCTTCTTACTATCCTTGTGAACCCCATCTCAACCTCCTTAACCAAACTAACCACCCCACTGGAGCACCGCCTCGCTCTAGCTCCACTGTATGTCATCGAAGCATTGTCTCTCTATCTCGATCTCTCTTTTTCTCTCTCTCGGTCTCTCTCTTAGATCTTGGGATTTTGATGGATGGGGTGGAACTTTTAGGGTAATGGTGGGTTATGGGTGGATTTCAAGGGTTGAGATGGGTTTTCAGGTGGGTGGGGTGGGGTTTCATGGGTGGATTATTAGATTGGGTTGGACTTTGGGTGGATTTCAAAGGGTTGAGATGGGTCTATGGGTAGGTTGGGGTGGGTTTTTGTTGGTGGGTTGTTAGATTGGGATGGTGATTGGGTGGAATTGTAGAAATTAGGTGGGTTTTGTAGTAGATGGGCGGCGAGGCGGTGGTGGGTTTTTAGGTTACAGTGGTGGTTGGGTAAATTTGGCAAAGATTGTGTGGGTTTTGTAGTGCATAGGCGGTGGTGCTTAGGGTAGCGGCGGTGGTGAGGTGGTAGTGATGGTTCAGTGGCAGAGTTAGTCTACTTTCATTATTCTTTTTGTTTTCTCTATAGATTGCTTATGTGTATTCTACAGTACTAATCTGTTTGAAGTCATCCATTGCATGAACTACGGTTGTCACATTTGGCACATCACTTTATAGTTAAATAGTGCGCCTTTTAACAAATTCTGTCAGGGCTGGCTATTGTTGTCATTATTTGCTCTTCACTCCCTTCATGCTCTGCACTGGTGTCGTAAATTATCTGCACTGCCAAACTTATGCTGTCTTTTTTCTACACTGTCTTCTGAATTGTGTCATCCTTGATAATGGTGCTGTTCTGCTGGCCTTGCCTTGAGTTGTAGCTTATCTTTGGTCTAAGAAAAGTTTGGTTCGTAGTTCATTGAGAAATCAATTCTGTTGTCCTAATTAACTTTTACTTTTGTATGTCTTCATCAGGAGCTACTTGCGCTTTTAAGGAGTGAGGATTATTATCGGAACTGAACAATGTAACACTCATGTTCAATCGGCTATATATACACTCACATTATGTAAATTCCGTTGTCATAGCGGCCCCTCCGCCCTGCGGTGAATGTATATATTTATTCCAGCATGTAATGTTGAAATTTGTCTCTGTAAATGTAAACATGACAAGCTCTTGAATCACCTGTAAGAATTTGGTTTACTGTATTGATCCGTATTTCAGCTGCTGTTAAAGTAATCCTCTGGTACTTTGTAAAGTATATTACGAAGTATAAGATACACCTATAATTTTATAAATGATGTTCAGTTACAGACGACCTTCAGCTGAAAGATGGCATAATGAATAGATACCATCATATTTTATTTTTTTTTTGCTTCAAAACATCATCATTTTTTTAATTGGTACACTGTAAGAGCTTAATTCTATGTCTGCAAAAGTTGCCTCATTTTCTTTAGTAGTAAGACTAGTAACTCTTTGTGATAAGAGTTTTGTTACGAGCATGTGCCATGAGTACGGATTCTTATGCATTACTTAATATCTTATTCTCACCATACAACTGATCAATCAATTGTCTATTTTGCTGAGTTTCATGAATGAGCTAATTAGCTTCATTTTTCTTTTATTATCCGCGTACTCAATGACTTTGTTCATATACATATAAGCAATTAAGGAAGATAAATTTTCCTGTTGCTTTTGCAAATGAGCAAGATTAATTTGTTCAATTTGTATAAACATATTAAACAAGCAAATAATGGTCACAAATTTTCGAGTGGCCGGGGTTACTTAGTCATGGGTTACTCGGTTGGTCAGGAGTTGTGTAGCCAGGGTCACTTGATCAGGACTTACTCGTTCCATTTACTGTGTGTTAGCTTGCCGCGTGGTGTGATTAGCCACAATATTAAAAAAAAAAAAAGGCTGATAAATAAAAATCAAATCAATTGTATAAGTGATAGATAAAAGACACATGTAACAAAACCACATGAACAAATTCCGTATTAACAAATTCCGTATTATTTGCTTTCAAAAGGTTCGGACAATGTGACAAGATTGACGATGAATTTTAAGTTGAAAAGTACGAGTAACAAAGTAAAAAGAGGCTGGATATTCAGCAACAAAGTCGGATAAGGGAGAATCTAATTAAGTTGCCGATCTGCAGCAAATTTATCTATTTCTAGTTTATTTACTGTAAAAAGGAAAAAAAAATGGTGTACTGTACTAGAAGCAATAACGAATCAAACTTTTGTGTTGCCGTACCGCTTACTCTTTAAGGTTAAGTTTTTGTAAAAAAAACGTTTTCAAGAGTAGTTGCACAAACTTACATCCCAAATCTAATAAAATTATAAAAAAGTAGGTTGTCTAACATCTTTGATTTATGTCTTGAAATTACTAACTTAATCATATTTCACATGCTAATGCATATGCATGTGACTATAGTTTACAAAGTTGACTGACTTAATATATATTTTCATATAAATATTATGATATTATATTTATGATAATAATATATCTTAGTGATATTCTAAAATAGATTTATGTAGGTTTATATGATAAAGTTTTATGGTATATTTCCTATATTCCTAGCACTACTACATGTAGTAGAAAATAACACAAATAATATACCAATTACAATATAAACTTCAATATAAGCTCTGAAAGATCTCCAAATTTAGTCATGGAGCTTGTTTCTAATGTCAATGATTCGTGGAAGTATTTCGTGGCTGGAAGCTTTGTTGGGTTCACCCTACTGCTTCTGTTTGCCTATCAGGTGAACCCGTATACGAGTTTTATGGCTGAACAGAGTACTGTGGTTGAATTCGTTCCATTGGATGAAACTGATGCGACTGTTAGTGTGATCAAGCCTTTGGAGCATTTTAATATTACTGTTATTAGTCCGGAGAATAAACTGAATGTGACAGATGAAGATGTTGTCGAGCCAGGTGAGGAAGTTGATAAGGAGTGTAACATGTTTGAAGGGAAGTGGGTGTATTTGCCAGATGAAGATCCTGGATATGATTCAACTAGGTGTCCGTTTATTGAAGAGAAAATGAGCTGCAGGAAAAATGGGAGACCGGATTTCGAGTATGAGAGGTGGAGATGGGAAGCTCAGGGTTGTGACCTACCATTGTAAGTTGTACAAAGTATTTATTCTATTAATTGAACTAAATAATGTTCATATACCTCGAATTATATGATGAGCAACTTACTGTTATTTTGGTAGGTTCAATGGAACAGATATGCTAGAAAGATTGAGAAACAAGAGGGTGATTTTGGTAGGAGATTCGCTAAATCGAAACATGTGGATGTCTCTTGCTTGTCTTCTGTATTCCTCCATTCCTTCTTCCAGTGTTGAAGTGAGTGCAGAGAGTCCAGTTTATAAGTTTTTGAAAGCTAAGGTACTATAACTAGACATATTTTCTTTATTATATTGTTTAAACTTTAATATAGCTACTTATTCTTCTTCTTGTGTTTTTTTTTTTTGCAGGATTATAATTGCACAGTTGAGTTTTATTGGAGTCCATTTCTAGTTGAGTTTATTGAAAAACATGTAAGTGGTCACAAAGTTCTTGTGCTAGACAAGCTATCACCGAATTCGTTGCAATGGAAAGGAGCTGATGTTATGGTATTCAACTCCGGCCACTGGTGGCTGCACGGTGGCAAAATGAAATCGTAAGAAAGCTCAACTATGATCACATATAGTTGATGTTTGTGATTGAATCTACAATTTCATTATAAACGTCGAGTTTTGAGAGAATGCAAGTATAAAAATCCAATTATTTTAATGATCTCACAGTTAAGTTATGACAATCTTTTACTTTACAGGTGGGATTTGTTTGAATATGAGGGTAAGTTAGTAGAAGAGATGCCAATAGAGCTAGCATACGAACGAGCCATGACAACATGGTCAACATGGATCAACAGCAATGTCGATTCTAACAATACATCAGTATATTTCCGAAGTCTATCAGCAGTGCACCACAGTTCAGACGACTGGTGCTACAATGCAACCCAGCCTCTGGAGGAGGACTCTCTGAAGTCTGTCGCGCAAAGATCTGATATACTCCTTCCGGTCATTAAGAAGGTGATAGAAGGGGTGAACAACATACAAGTGAAGTACATGAATATCACAAAATTGTCACAATATAGAAGGGATGCACATCCTTCAATTTATAGGAGCAGTCAATGGAAAGTAATGATCAAAAAATTTGAGAATAGTCTAACAGGATATGCTGATTGCAGTCATTGGTGTCTTCCTGGATTGCCTGATACTTGGAATAGATTACTTTATGCTTCTCTGTTCTTCAATACTTCAGGGGGTAGAACTAGCTAGTCCTTAGAATTTTTTTTAGTTGACAATTTTTATTTTTTTGTGAACAGTTCTTGTCTTAGGTGAGATAGAAAAGTTGGACAAAGGTTCAACTTTAACCTGTTAACAACTACTCATCTACAAAATAATACTTAATTTGTTTTTTTATATATATTTATATAATAAAAGTTGATACTAATATTTATATATTTCCCTTTAATAATTATGGTGATTTATACATGACCCCCCTGCCCCACCCAAAAAAAAAATACGTCTGAACAGCTGGCGTTGACAGAAATCGATCGTTGGATATAAAATCGAAACATAGAGTTCTTAGATTTGTGTTATGTGATTTTAAGAGCATCTTTATTGGTGAACCCAAATAAATGGTTCATGGGTCACTATAATCATTTCTCTCTCATCCACATCAACCCAACAAACCATTTACAATATTCACTCTTAACAATGAACACTAAACAATGGTTCATCATCAATACTCCCTACCCCACCTTATTTTATTTTTGTAAATATAATCTTTTTTGTTTCATAATTATAATTTATTAACCCGATGTCAATATAATTAATTGACGTATTTAATATTTTAATCGTGATTACTAATTAAGAAATTATCGCATTTTTTTATCAGCTTTTTAAAAAACTAATTCTTGTGATTAATATTTTTTAAACAACAACGCAACTAATTTTAATTAACAAAAAAAAAAAAAGAGGTACAAATCGTGATTACAGTTCTACAACTATAATCTAGTACATTTTATTTTAAAAAAAAAAACAACTACACATCGTTTTGTAAGATGTCCTTAGGGGTAACCATTTGTTGTAAACCTAGTTGCCTAAGTTTTCGTTGTTACCAAATTTATTCCATATATGTTCGACCAAGTCGTTTTTTAGCTGCAAATGAGTCTGTTGATCCTCAATCTCTGTTCTACGAGACAAGTATAAGCCGATATCCACAATACGATCAGTACGGTACTCGGTAGTGTCCTCATAAGCGTTGCCTCCAGCATTCATAAACTCATTGGTATTAACGTTATTTTGATACGTCTCTCGTTCATCTTCAACGATCATATTATGTATTATGATGCAGGCGAGCATGATATTGTGGAGTATGTCGGTATCCCACGCCAAAGACGGCTTTTTAATAATGGCAAAACGAGCTTGAAGGATCATATTTTGACCCAAATTTTTTTTCTTCTTTCTATTTGTTTTGGGGTTGGTATTAGCATCCATAATTATAATTTATATTTGGAAAAAATAAAAATTTAATAATAATAATAATAACGACAATAATAATAAAAATAATAATAATAACGATAATAATAATAAAGGAAATAATAATAATAACGATAATAATAATAAAAATGATAAAAATAACGATAATAATAATAATAATAATAATAATAATAATAATATTAATATTAATAATAATAATAATATTGGTAATTATAGAGGGGATTTTTGAAGAGAAAAATATAGTAGAAAGAAATGGATTTTCAAAGTTGAAGAAAGTATAGCAATATGGGTGTCTATTTATAGAGGGGAAAAAAATAGAGTCGTTGGTAATTTTTTTTTATTTGTGTTTTGTAAAATATATTCGTTGCAAAATTACAACGGATTTATTTAAAACAGTGACACGTGTCAAGCAGCGGCTGGGCCAAGTGGCGCGCTCCCAGCCGCTGCTTTCTATTTTTTTCCTGAAAAAAACTAAAAATGGGTGGGGCCCACAATCCATAAATTCGTCCAAATGCTTGCAGCAGCAATCGATCCCACAACCATTCACTATGAACAATTATAGAGATCACCATTAAGCCACCCATTCACTTGTTCACTCATTGTGAATTATTTTTTTGTTCACCCTTAAGGCTGCCCTTAGTCTAGCTATCAACTTTTATATGTACATTGTATGTAGTTATTTTTTTTCTATGAAAGATAAACTTTTATATTGCAGAAAATGCTATTTGAAAGACTTTTTTTTTTTTTGACATATCCTAAACTGACCTTATATAATTACATTGGTGTTTAAGTGTGCTAAATTTATTTGAGGTTTCAATGCTCCTCAAAAAATCAAGGTGGTAACTCATCAAAATTTAAAACGTGTTCTATCTTTCGAAAATTCTACGTATGGTGAGGCTTTCGTGGCCAGTGCGTAACACCCCCTACAACCATATGTCTACTAATTTTAGGCAATCAAAATACATACGTCTTTCTTCTCTAACTTGTGAATCATTGTGTTACCAAACACAAAAATCCGAACGTGAAAGCATCAACACAACCTAGATGGAGAATATTGTCAAAATGTCGAGCATGCATAACTCAAGTAGACCAAAAACTCTCTTCAAAAGCTTTATCTTACAAAAAATAAAATAATTGACATAAAAAAATTTTTAATTGCAAATTCAATTACCAAATCATAAAAGTACCTAATTGGGATAAGCAATAGAAAAAGATCATAATCAAATGCATAAGCAAGAATCCAATATTGTTACTTTATTACAAATTAAAAAAAATTTATCATCATAGACTTCTACAATTAAATCCACAATGTTTAATTTCTGGCATCAAAGATTGTAGAAACCGCAATCCCAAAACATATACATATAACCTTAAAGTGCATCATCATCATCATCAAAATTTGTGTCAACGTAATTTGAGACTTGTCTTCATCAGACTTTAATAAAGACTGATAAGATTTTGAGAGAGTAGAATTGAGAGAAGAAATTAGAACTCAATTTTATTGATTTTCAAAAATGATATTGAATGAATACACAAGATGTATTATTACAGCTATTTATACAAAATATCTTGTAACAACTTTCTAACAACTTTCCTAATAGAAAATATCTAGCAACCGAATTCTGTTATGAATCCCAACAGAATCTAGTAGCTTCCAGAAGCTTCATTACAGCTCAGCAGCCTTTACTTCAGCTTCACTTAGCTTCCCTCATTCAGCATCTTTACATTCTGTCAAAACAAAATTATCATTACCCTTATGAGAGTATCAATACCCCTTCTCAAGCTAGGTATGGGTGCTTGAGACACGCCTAGCTTGGCCAATAGCTTAGAAAACTGTGCAGCAGGAAGAATTTTGGTTAGAATATCAGCTAGTTGACCATCAGTAGGAACATCAATAAGCCCTTCCAGCAGTTTTATCCTTGGTAAAGTGGAAATCAATCTCTATATGCTTGGTTCTCTCATGCATTACAGGATTCTTTGCCAAGTGAATAGCAGACTGATTATCACAGTTCAGTCTAACTAGAGTAAGATCAGTAACACTAAGGTCAATTAACAGTCTCACAAGCCAAGCTATCTCTGATGCTGCTGCAGCCATTGCTCTGTATTCTGCTTCAGTAGAGGACTTGGATATAGTTGACTGCTTCTTAGACTTCCAAGAAATTAGACTATTACCCAGAATCATCAAGTAACCAGTGACAGATCTTCTACTGTCTATGCAAGCAGCCTAATCAGAATCTGAGTATGCTTGAAGTGTGACCTGTTTAGTAGCCTGCAAAAAAAGCCTTGACCAATAGTACCAGCTACATATCTCAACAAATGTTGCAGAGCCTTAACATCCTATAACATTGGACATTACATGAGTTGACTAAGAGTTTGAACAACATAAGATATATCAGGCCTGGTGTGAGTCAAAAAATTCAGCTTCCCAACCATACTTCGATAATGTTTTGGTTCCTGATACAAATCCCCTTCAGTTGCTAAAAACTTTACACTAATAGGAAGAGGTGTCCTTGCTGTTCTTGAGATATCCATATCACAGACCTCAAGTAACTCTTTAGTGATATTTCTTTGACTGAGTATAATGCCAGTAGTTAACCTTGAAACCTCAATTCCAAGAAAATAACTCAGTTCACCTAAGTCTTTGATGCTAAAAACAGCATGTAAATGAGTCTTCAATCTGATCAGAACATTTGCATTTGAACCAGTTAGAATAATATCATCAACATAAATTGTAGCTATGCATATATCACCTTTCTCCTTGAGGGTAAACACAGAATAATCATTCTTGTTCGGAACAAAACCTTTCTTCTGAAGTTCTGCAGTTAATCTGGCAAACCACTGTCTACTAGCCTGCTTTAACCCATACAAGGATTTGACCAACCTACTCATATTATTTTCTAGATTTGGTACACCTTGTGGAATCTTCATATAAACCTCTTCATTAGTGAGCCATGTAAAAAGGCATTGTTTATGTCTAACTAAAACAATGGCCATTGATTTCCAGTAGCAACAACAAGTAAACATCTAATTGTGTCCATTTTGACAACTGGTGAGAAAGTATCATCATAGTCTACTCCATAATTTTGTGTAAAACCCTTTGTAACCAGCCTTGCTTTACACCTTTCCAGTGACCCATCTTTCTTCGGCTTCACCTTATACACCCATTTACATCCAATGGCCTTTTTACCTTTAGGTAAACTAGTAACAACCGAAGTATTGTTAGCAGACAATGCTTCTAATTCCTTATTCATTACCTCTATCTACTCTGGATGCTGTGCAGCCTCAAAATAAGTAGTTGGCTCTGTGATATTTGAGATTTGAGCAATAAAAGCTCTTAAATGAATAGGAAACTCTTCATAGGTTACAATATTGTACCAATGTGAAGTAGCAGACTCAACTGCACAAACATAATTAATCATCCAGGCTGGTTTTCTGTGAGGTCTAATAGACTGTCTATCTGGTTGAGGTTTTCTGTGGTGTTTTTTATGGCATAGGTTCACTATTTGGCTGATTATTTTGTGAACTAGGTGTGTTATTAGTAGGTTTAGCCTGATTTGGAACTATTTGGTCGGGGAGTAGGACAAAAGGCTCGGGTATATCAAGGTCAAAATCAAAGACAAAAGCTATTTCAGATGGAAGAAAAATGGAATTTGGTTTATGGGGTAGGGATGAGATATGAAAGGGAAAGTTTCTTTCATGGAACACGATCTCTAGAAACAAAAATTTTGTTAGTTTCTAGGTTCAAAAGTTTATATGCCTTTTGACCAATTGGATAGCCAAGCATAACACAGGGTGTTGATCTAGAATCAAATTTGGTTATGTTATTCTTCAAGGTAGCAGCATAACACAAACATCCAAATACCCTCAAATGTTCAATGTTGGGAGCAACACCATGAACCTTCTCATATGGTGAAACATAACCAAGACAAAACAAGGGCATCCTGTTAATTAAATGAGTAGCATAAAGCAAACATTCACCCTAATATTTTATAGCAACTTTAGACTGAAAGAACAAAGCCCT